GCACAATATAGTCTGATTTTTATTTTGCTTTCATATAATTCCACATTTAACATTGGAGTAAACGAAATATATTTCAGAGACGAATTCAGATAGTTTCCATCACTTTACATGTGATCTTATAAATGACATTGTCAAACAATACATACATATATATATATATATATATATATTTGCTAACAACAAGAAGATCGCAGTCCAAAATTAACAGATCACTCACTTTTGGCCCCATTGTGACTTTGACAGCATCAGCGAGCTCTTCAACACCCCTAAGCATCAAAGCCCGCGCTTCAACTCCAAATTTAATCTCTTTCGCCGCATAATTTCTGCTCCAAGCCAATCTACCACCAATCTGAACCAAACACAAACATACATATAAAAAATAAAATAAAAATCGCAAAACAAAGATCAAATCTTTACCACACAAAGACAATAGTTGAACTACCAATACCTGGTGAGTACCGCATCTAGCGATCCTGCAAATCATGGAACAAAATGGTGAGTGAAACTAAAACAAGAAAGATTCAAAAACAAGCGATTTTGCTACTTACCGAGCTTTGGATACGAGATTAGCGGCAAATCGATACATGGTGGTGAAGCTGCAAAAGCAAGGTGTTGTAGAGAGAGAGAGAGAGAGAGAATAGTGAAGATTGTGGTGAATCGAAAGTAGAGAAACGAATGTCCTCTGCGAGCGAGCGAGAGAGTAGAGAGAGAGAGTAAAATAGGGAGAAGGGTTAAGAGTGAGAAGAGTCTAGAAGAAGAGGAGCGTGAAGCAGGGTTTAGGGTTTTGGCGGCTGAGAGGCCAACAAAACAAACAATGACGAACGACACGGACTCTTGCGTTTCGGAATCAAGTTGGGCTATTGGGGCTTCAGGATATATATATACACACATATCTTTGGGCTCAACCTTAATGCCACTTGGGCTGTGAACTAACGGGCTGAAATTCTATGGGCCTCCGCTGTTTTTTAAGACGGAAATATCATATGACTGATTTCTTGATTGTAAAGTCAAAACCAACGATATATTATTATGGTTCAGGTTATTGATTTTAATATAAATAAAATTAAAAAATTCACGAAATGCCTCAAGAGTTTTATAAAAATTTATTAAATTTTACATTGAAAATAAATAGAGTGGAAAAATATCTCAATCCTTAACATATATTACAAAATGTGTATCATTGATTATTTATTTTTAGTACTCAAAAATATCAAAATATAAATTTATTAAAATATAATATTTTAATCAAATCAATTGGTACTGGTTTTAAAAAGTTTCAAAATAAAAACAATCATCATACTTTATAATAAAATAGACTAAAAATAGATTTTAAATTCAGTTTTCTAAAAATTGAGTTTTTTTATTTTTCGTATTTTTTTATTTTTAGTGAATATTTTTAAAATTTTAAGCATTTTTTTATTTTTTAAGATAAACCTTTCTTAGATGTATCTAAAAACTAAAATATTTGTGAAAAAATATTTTAAAAAATTAATAAATTTACAAAAATACAAAAAACATATGAAATTTTTGTATTTTTTTATATTTTTAATTTTTAAACATTTCACGAAAATTATATTTTTTAAATGTATTTATATTAACTGTCTAAAAAATAAAAAATAAAAATTACGAAAAATATTTTAAAAATTCAGTAAAAACAAAAAACAAAAAATAAGAAAATATAATTTTCTGAAAAGTATTTTCAAAAATCTAAAAACAAACATGGTTATTTTTTCTTCTTATTTTCCTTCCTACTTTATGAAACATTAAATTAAATTTTGGGAGTTTTTTTAATAAATCCTCTTTCAACTGTCTAAAAAATAAAAAATATAAATTACGAAAAATATTTTAAAAATTCAGAAAAAAAAACAAAAAACAAAAAACAAAAAATAAGAAAATATAATTTTCTGAAAAGTATTTTCAAAAATCTAAAAACAAACATGGTTATTTTTTCTTCTTATTTTCCTTCCTACTTTATGAAACATTAAATTAAATTTTGGGAGTTTTTTTAATAAATCCTCTTTCTAAGAGTTTTATTTCATCCAATTCATATTTTTTTATTATTATTTCATTAGGTCCTATTTGAGGTAAGAAGGCCAAAACATCCTAAATCTCTCATACTCCTATTAATGTTGATATTTAATGTTGATTGTCATTATATCTTCACTCAAAAAAAAAAAATGCATTAACTATACACTATTATTTAATGTTGATATATATTACACACAAAAAATTAAACATGGTTCTTTATTGATTGTCATTATGTTTTGGTAGTTCCCATGCATCATTGATCGTCATTATGTTTTGGTATTCCATATGTTGACTGTACGTAATGACATGATTGTTCACATTAGATGACATGAATGTGAATGTTCACAGCAAATGACGTGAATGTGAATGTTCACATCAGATGACGTTGTGATAAATGTGATGTTAAAGTTCACATCAACATTGCATCAAATTACATAATCACAAGTATCAACTTTCATTTGAATATAAACATAACGTGAATGTTCATACTAAAATATATGAATGTGAATATTCACATGAATTCTGAAATACAGATATTAACATTATGAACATTAACGTTTATATTCACATTTATATGTTTTAGTATAAATATTCACGTCATCTGATATTAACATTATGAACATTAACATTTGTATTCACGTTCATATGTTTTAGTGTGAATATTCATGTCATCACGTAGAGTCAACATTTGAATGCATGAGAACTATCAAAGCATAATGACAATCAATAAAGAACCATGTTTAATTTTTTGTATGTAATGTATATCAAAATTAAATAGTAATGCATATCAACATTAAATATAAGGGTATAAGAGTCTAAGAAAATAGCCAAAATTAAAAAATTAAAAAAAAATCTTATGAAATAAAGGCATAAATACATGAAACTAAGGGAGTTATAAATTTCCTTCATAAACTTCTTAGACTAGAACACTCCTAAATAGTATTTATCAATAAAAACTCCTTAAATTTTTTTTTAATGAAATAGTAAGAGAGAAAGGATCGTTAAGACTAAAAAATAAATAATACTAGAGATCATGAAAAAAATATCATGAAATGTTTCATGTAGATTTTTCATCCCTTAATTACTGTGTAGTGTTTTCTTATATGTGTAATCTAATAGTAGAAAATCTTTCATGATCATTTTCATAATATTTTTTTCATGATACCTACCATTACTACTAAAAAATTCTCATCTACTGTCATGTTTCCTTTCATCTCCCATGGTACATAATAAAAAAATTCTACGCTTAGTTTGATTACCAAAATAAAGATTTTTTAATTTTTTTAAAAATCAAACCAAATGTTTACCTTTCATTTTCGTCACCAAATTTATGAACCAAATAAAGTATACCTGATATTTTGAAAGAAATTTTTTTACAAAATCTTAAAAAAGAAGACTGATGAAATATTGGAATTAATATCGTAGCCTTGGATTAAATGCTTATTGCACCCTGCTCACATGTAGCAATTCATTACGAATTCGAGAAAATTGCATTAAGGCTAAATTTGGCATGTCTTAAAAAGGATAAAAAGTTAAAAAGTTACTATCCTATTTAAGTTATATCATCTTATTTAAATCACGTCACCTCTCTAACACATCACTTCAAACCCAACCCAAACCCAACCCATATTTCATAAAAAGTCAAAAAGTACACTTATTTAGATCATCTCAAACAACCCCTAAAATGTGAAATAGATTCACAATATTCATCACCGTATAATGCTCAGGATAAATTTCTACTGATCCTCCTCAGAAAAGAACAAAATCCTAACGCTGTGTTTATAGTTGGAGAATTTAAAAAGGAATTTGCAAAGGAAAAGAAAAAAAAAAAATAAAATATATTTATATTTCACATAGTTTCACACACATTTTCTCTTTCTTTTTCCAAATCCCTTCTCAAATCTTCCAACCAAACACAGCGTAAAACAGAAAACACTACGGGTGTGTTTGTTTAGACAGACTGGATAAGAGAAGATTGCAATCCATCAAACTGTTAATCCTGAAATACATTACCCCTGAACTATTTGATTAGACTGAATTTGTATCCTATGTTTGTTTAGTCATGAAATTAGAAGTCTAGATTGAACTATTCTATTGAATCCCGTATTTGTTTGGAATATTATGAGGAAAGATAAATATTCAAAAGACTATTTTGCCCTATTAAATTATTTACTAAATAATAAGAATTTTAAATCTGAATTATAAATTTTATTTAATTTGTTTACAAAAACTTTTAAAATATTAAATAAATAAAATATTAATAAATATTACATAAACTTATTTTAATTTGTAATTGAGATTTTTAAATTATATGACTACCTTATTAAGTATAATTAATACCATGAATGCACCAAATATGAAATTTTTGACTTCATACTTAATTCTAGTAGATCAGGACAAATTAGCAATTGGGATAATAACTTGACAAAGGTACTTAAACTGTTATGTTTCAAAAATCTAGGCAAAAGACTTCTGTGAAAGCAAAATGGGCAAAAGATAAAAGAAAGAGACATTAAATACTAGGGCCAAAGACGTAATTCAATGGCTAATCTCGTGGGATACATTGTCCCACGAATTCTGTCCCAAACCCCCCCTCCCCCTCTTCTCTTTTTCCCAGGGATACAATAAGCCAACGAATATAGGACTAAGGTCATATTTGTTTGGGTGGACATGAGCTTGGGATTGGATTAATAGTCCAATAAAATTATTAATCCGATGTTTGATTAAACAATTGAAGTACGGACTAATTATTTTAAACTTGACTTTTAGTTAAGATAGGATACATAATCCAATGGATTCGTAATCCCAAGATTATTAGTCATGGGAATGCTAATCCAGTCCGCCCAAACAAACATGGCCTAATAGTCTTAGTCCAGAGTAAAAAATTAATACCAAACAATGGACTATTAGTCCATCAGGACTAATAGTCCAATCCCATGGCGTAATCCTTCAAAACAAACAGGCTCCACATGTGAACAAAAACAAAACAATCAAACCACAAAATGCTGGAAAGCTTTGGAGAGACATCTTTTGCTTCCCATATACAAAGTATCTTCACAAATACAACAGCAGTTGGGCCGATGTTTTCTAAAGACAATAGATATCATTATGAGCACAGCATAGTTTCTCACATATTTGCTTCTTCCCCACCAAAAAAGCCTCCACCCTCCACTCCAAACCAAACAGGCGAAAAATGAATATAACAAATATTATATTAAAAAAAACCCACCCTTCAAACTCACATTTCCACACAATATACAAAATACACAATAATGAATGACCATACCAAACTCCCCACACCCACGACGTTTCATCCCAAACGCTCCTGGCTAATCATGGTTAACATCTATTGCAGTACCTGACCTGGCCTGTGAGATCCGGTTAGCATAGATGGTCACCAACCGCAGTTGCGTGCTGTTCAGCCCCTCCAAGTACGGCAAGAATGCTTTCCCAAGCATGATATAGATGTCTACAAGACAGAAAACAACAGTCTGCCACCAAAAGAAATTGTGTTAAAATAGACCCATGCCAACTTAAGAAAGCTTTCCATATAGCCCATATAGCCTAGATAAATAAAAATAGAAGTGCATGTTCAGATATCAATATCTATATTCAGGAAGAACACGAAATTTGTCCTGGTTTAAATGAATCACAACTTCCTATGACGGTTTCCTGTTCTCAATTGAAGCAGGTATGGTACTTGGAACGTGGATCGTTCCAGTATGTGAAACGGAAACGGGAACGTGGTATGCCACATGTTCTAAAATGTAGTACGATTTAAAATTTTAAAATACTTCTAGAGTGATTTTTTTTTAACTATTAAATATCTAATAAAATGTAATATTTTCCATGAGCATTATAACCCATTTGTTGATGTTTTTGTCTTGTCAAAACTTAACTCACCTTAAAATTTATTTCATTATATTTGAATTTTTTCCTTCTAAGGTAACATTTAAGAACATATATTGAAAAAAACTTTTATGATCGCTTTATATCACTAAATTTACCATTTTGAAACGAAAGTGTACTATGTTTCAGAACGTGCATAGCAATACATAATTCGTTAGGGTATTAGCGTTTTCCAGTAGCATGGGGTGATAGTGCTGCCATACATGTCTAGAGTTTTTTCAAGACATTGCCAGAGCCAAGCATGCAACAAAAACTTCAAAATACAATATAGCTATAACTTATGGAACAATGAATGATAGTAGCAAGGTGTTATTTGTTTACCTTGCGAACATCAGCACTCTGGTTCCCAAATGCCTCAAAAAGGGCCGGCAAAAAAGATGGTAACTGAGACATTAATTCCTCTTGGGAGAGCCTGCCAACAACCTGAATGAAAAAACAGAGTCTTAATAAAATTAAAACCAATTAGAATTATGACACAACATTGAAAGTTTTAAACGTCTTCTGAAAGAAACAGTGGCATTAAGAATTTGATACGAAAAGATCGCCATAGAGCCACTCAATTTCCTTGTTAAGAAAACTCTTCTATATGGAAAAAAAATAAAATGCAAAATGGCTCTTTTTGTTGGTTGTAGGGTAGCTATTTAATTGTACTCTTTCTATTCATCTCTTCTTTTATTTTCTTCTTCTTTTTCAAGTAGGATCTCTCAGACATCACCCTGTACTCCAATTTTTCGTTCTTATCAAATATAAAACTGAAGTGAAACAGTTGGAGAACTGGAGACAGACTTCGCTGTAGCATCAAAAGATTCCCAAATAATTACACGTTTAACGGTGCCCAAAGACATATATTAGCTGTCAACTATTATCTAATTGTGCACTGCATGTACAACACTTTCCAAAATATTGTAACTGTTAATATCTAATCTAAAATATTGCACAAGAGACTAACCACTTTGAATCTTGAGGATTCTCAGGAAACAATGAAAATATAAATGACAAAACATTGCTAAGCACAATAACAGCAGATTTATCGTATATAAAAAAATAATTATAACACCAATCAAACTTTTAATAAGCAAGTAATAATTTCCAGAAATAGATAATATTATCTCCAAAAACCAATCTATTCTCTTCCAACAATGAATTTTTGAAATAAATACCTTTGTTAAACAATTTATGCAAGTAACAAGAGTTTTCTCATCTTCAGTAACCAACAAAGGGACAATAACCTGCAATTCCAGTAAATGAGACTATTTAACTAAATCAAAGCACATTAAGATATCTTGGGATGTTCAGCAAGTAAAGAGGAATCGAGTATCACTCACACTTAAACATCTGAATGAATCATATTGAGACAACACAATAGTCAAACAGTGTTCTGCTTCATTTGCAACCTGAATTGGAAACTTCAATACCATGAGACATTGAGAAAGAAAGTGAAAACCATAAAATGTAGTTCAGCAAAGAATATTACTTTAGGAATAATATCTTTTGAAACATTAAGCAGTTTTTCAATTACCAACTCTACTGAATCCTCCATGGCATCTTTCTGGAAACAAAAGACAAAAATATCATGAAATAACTATAGAAGGAAAAAAAAAATGTATAGGAAAAGAAACTTGCATAATGCTGATAGAGATAGGTTGTCAACAGCATGAAGATGACAAAATCAGTAACTCCAGATAAGAACAAGCAGAAAAGGACATCCACAAATGGACTGCAACCAAGATATAAAGCAGACCTGATTCTTCAGCATTTCAATTATCAGCGAAAGAGCAAGTTCACGGATTGTTGATTCAGAATCATCCAAAACCTCCAGAACAACTGTCAAAATCTGATTGAAGTACTGCAAATAAACCGAAAATTATACACATGAAAATAATGCATAATTTAAGCATACATAGTTTGTTGCTCAATGCATAAAATGAAGAAATATAGTTCAACTTGAGTAGCTCATGAATAAATCTTCCCATACACAGGACATTAGTCAAACAAAACAACTTAGAAAATCTAATAATAATACCAAAGTGAAAAACATCGTGTTTGGTTGGTCTCTCAAGAGACAATTTTTGAAAAGAAAATTTTCAAAAATTTGTTTGGTTGAAAATTTTTGAAAAAAAAAAAAACCAAAATCACTTCTCTCTACTACACATCAATCAATCATTTTTTTCTCTCTCCTCTCACATCGTACACATCAATCAATCACTTTTTCTCTGACCCGTCTATTCAACTACACAAAAAAAATAAATAAATAAAATTCCCAAACTCGAAAACTATTTTCAAAACATACAACCAAATAAATTTTCAAATTTTGTAAACTCTTAACAGAAAATTATTTTTCAAAATTGTGCTGCCAAATTATGCGTACAAAACAATAGACATATCAGTACATATATCTCAAGCATGGATCATTTCTTCAAAGGGATATCCAGAAAATAATGCTGCTCAAATAGAAAGAAAAAAAAATAATGATGCCTCAACTGAAGGTAATTTAAACATTCATACAAGGCTATATGTGCTTCAAGAATTTAAACTACATCAATATAGAACTGGTTCTTTTTTCTTTTCCTCCTGATTCGTATAAATCTCAGATTGATGCCTTCAAAACCTCAACAACAATTTTAAAAATCTTATCAGGAATACCCCCAATCTCCCAGTTGGGCCATAGCACATGAAGCTAATGACAACACCTTAACCTTCAAAAAACCAAATGGTTTCCAATCAACAGATAAAAAAGGACCAAAATATGACAAAGCTGTACGGCTGTATCATTGGGAAGATCCCTCGCAATCATTAATCAAGGTTTTGGTAAAATATTTCTTAAATTACATGCGAAGTTTTAAGCCCCAGACCAACTAATAGGGATTTTAAATGCAGAAGAAATCATTACAAGAGACCCAGCAGATTGCAAGATTGTTCACGTAGTAGTATGATGATGACCATCTATGAAGCACAGATACTTCAAAAAAGGTGCCGTACGAGTATCGAATACACATTCGATACGGTGGGATACGTATCGGATATGGCAAATAAGTATCCGATTTTTTTATTTTTTTCAATTTCAGATACGGGAGGGATACGCAATGGATACTTGAGGGATGCGAGGGATACACCAAATATGCATCCAATTTTTTTCTTATTTTTTATTTTTTATATTGTAATACGCCAAATAGGTATATAATTTTTTCCAATTTTTTTATTATTTTATATTTATATTTTTTCAATGGTCTAGTCTCTGCTCTCTTTCTTCTTATTTTTCCCTTATCTATTAGGCTACTTTATTTAATTTTTTTCCACCTTTTTTTTTTCCCCTACATTGTTTTAATGTAAGTATTTCGTTACCAATTTTTAATTTTAGGAACTTTAATGTTAGTATTTCTTTATTTAATAGGAATCCCTCTCTTTATTTATTAATTTGCTTTAGGTTTTATTTTCATGCATATTTCATTATAAAAATTATAAAAAACAATTTTTTTTTTTAACGAATGTATCTCCGCCATACCCGTATCCTACCTTTTCAGATTTTGGCATATCGCCGTATCTCATATCCGTATCCATGCTTCCTAGATGACCGTTTACTTCTACCCAAGAAATAGCAATAACTTAGCAGGAATGGATGAGAGATTAGGAAGGAGATTGCCTTGTCAACACCCTGATTACCAAGGTATGTAACTTGCAAGAAATTGGGGATTAATTCCCAATAAGACTCTGGGTTTAGCAGGAATTAACAAAACAGCTTGCCAATAAACTAATTGAACATGTTATAAGGATCAATAGCTGAAAATGATTAAAGAAAAAAGGAAAAGATAGGATCTACGATTTCCTCATCATACCTTAGTCCAAATGGATTGATCATTAGCCACAGAAGCTTCGACTAACTGCTGAAGTGCACCACGCTTGCTAGCAGTAGGGCTTTCATCATTCCCATTGCAAATCTACACCAAAAGGGGGAGCAGAAATGTGTTATCACAATGTCAGTTGAATAAGTGAATGAGAAACTGATTCAGTATGCAAAATTTGATATAATATAACAATGTGAGGGGAAAACATTGACTATAAAAGA